ACTAAAATCGGCCGTAAAGTTAACGGTTTAAAATGTCTTTTCTATTTCTATTTAAAAAGTTAAAACAACATAATCGACATTTCTGAAACTTTCATGGTACTGTAGAGACATTTCTCTATTCGAGAAAAATCTCAACCAACTGACGGCGGACTGTCGGTCACGCAACGTCGAAATCCTAAATGACCGGCAGCTCATAAATAACAGATTTTTCTTTCCATGCATCTTTTATTAGAGTGCACGTCAGATAAGCATGAAACAATTCTTAATTTRTATTTGCTAAATAAGATTTAGTTATCAACTAACTAAGAATTCAACAAAGCATAAACACAATGCCAATTATTTAAATTCCTTTGTAGTATTGTTCTCAATTCTTAGTTAGTTGATAACTTAATCTTATTTAGCACTACATAGTTAAGAATTGTTTCATGCTTATGTGACTTGCACTCTATTCGAATTTAAGAGTTAAAGGATTACTGCCAGTTCCAACCGTAAGTACATTACTTTTTTCCGAGAAAAATCTGCATTCTTTACTAGGATTACAGTTCATGTTCAGAGGGTTATGCTGTGTGGCAGACAGCTCACATGATAATGTTGTATTTAAAATGATATATGATGATGATGTTGTATGATGATAATGTAGTATGTTGATAATGTTGTATATGGTAATGTTTTATGATGATAATGTTGTATGATGATAATGTAGTATATGGTAATGTTTTATGATGATAATGTTGTATGATGATAATGTTGTATGATGATAATGTTGTATGATGATAATGTTGTATGATGATAATGTTGTATGATTCATCATACAAGATCATACAAAATTATCAGCATAAAACATTATCATCATACAACCATTATCATATCATACAACATTTTCATCATACAACATTTTCATAATACTACATTATCATCATACAACGTTATCATCATACAACATTTGAGTCATCATACAACATTATCAGTCATCATACAACATTATCAGTCATCATACAACATTATTATCATATAACATTATCATCATACAACATTATCATCATACAACATTATCATCATAAAACATTACCATATACAACATTATCATCATACGGCCGATTTTAGTCTTTTTCTATACATAACAAAACATTTTAAGTCGTTAACTTTACGGCCGATTTTAGTCTTTTTCTATACATAACAAAACATTTTAAGCCGTTTGAAGTTTAACGGCCGATTTTAGTCTTTTCATATACATAACAAAACATTTTAAGCCGTTAACTTTACGGCCGATTTTAGTCTTTTCCTATACATAACAAAACATTTTAAGCCGTTAAGTTTAACGGCCGATTTTAGTCTTTT